TTCTACGTAGCGTTGTAGAGTGGCTACGACGCATAGTTGTGGATCGGAGTTGAAGAAGGGGTAGAAAACTGTTGAAGAGTCAGATTTCGTGCGACGAAATGGAACCCGAACCCTGCGGAAGGACACCAGGCAGAGCAGAATCGTTAGTTTTGCTGAGAGTTGTCGGAGTGAGAGTCTATCGTTGGTCGGCCATTCCCTCAGGAAGCGCAGGACTATTTCGACATCCCAGAGTCGTGAATATTTCAGTTCAGGGGGTCGTTGTAGGCGAATGCCCCTGAGAAGTCGACATATCAGCGGGTCTTTCCCCACTGGGATCCCAGCGCTAGGGACGTGGGCCGCTGAGTTAGCGGAACGGACCACATTGATTGATCTGTAAGATCGTCCTGTGGAGAATAGATGGGTTAGATAGTTTAAGATGGAAGGAATAGTGGCCGTAAATGGATCGAGGTTCCGTTCCAAGCACCAATCGGACCAGGAATTCCAAGCGGACAGGTATGATCTCCTGGTTCCTGGAGCCCATGAGTCCCATAGGAGGTCCTTAGCAGCCTGTGATAGTTCGCCGACTTGCCAGGCACCCCGGAAAGAGTCCAAGCCACCAAGTAGAGTCGGTTGGACAGGATCAATGGGTGAGGGCTCCCTTTCGGATCTCTGAGGGTATATTGGTGTGAAGGTAGCAGGAGGGGATCCCGGTAAGATAGGGCTAAGAGGTCTGGAAACCATGGTTGTCCTGTCCATAGGGGTGTGATGAGAAGAAGGGATATTCATTGTCGTCTCAGGTAATGTATGGTCCTTGCTATCATGGTGAATGGGGGAAAAGCATATGCCCCCGTGGTTGGCCATGGTTGAAGGAATGCATCTGTTGCTTTGCTCTCCGGATCCGGGAGCCAACTGAAATATGTCTGTGTTTGCCTGTTGTTGCGAGACGCGAAGAGATCCAGGTGAAATGGACCTCGATGTTGTTGTAGACCTTGGAAAATTTGGGGATCCAGTTTCCAATCGCTGACGTCCCTCCAATGTCCGTCCGCTGTGAGGTTGGTTTCCCCCGGGAGATATTCCGCTGTGAGGGAGATGTTGCGGGGTAAGCAGAAGTCGAAAATCTCCTTTGTTATTTCTGACAAGATGCGCGATCTTGTCCCGCCTAGGCGGTTGATGTAGCGAACCACCGAGATGTTGTCCATCCGCAGAAGGATGCAGCAGTCTGTCTTTTCTTTGGTGAGGCTGCGGATGGCAAAGGATCCTGCCAGGAGTTCTAGGCAGTTTATATGCATGTTGAGGTCCCGGGAGTTCTAGGCAGCGCCTGTTGATGTACCGTTGCTTGTGGCGCTCCATCCCCAGAGGCTGGCGTCTGATTCCAGATGTCGGGCTTGCTCCCGAAGATGGCCCGACCGTTCCATGCTTCCATGCTGTCTAGCCACCAGCCGAGTTCGTCTCTGACTTCCTTCGTTATTGGAATCGGTTGGTCGTAAGATGGGTTTTGTCTGAGGAAAGATGCTTTGAGGCGTTGCATAGCCCTGTAGTGAAGAGGTCCCGGGAATATAGCTTGTATAGAAGCTGAGAGGAGTCCCACTATTCGAGCAAGGGCGCGGAGTGGAATGGTGTGGGCGCGAATGGTCTTGCGCAGCTCTTTGCAAATGTTCGAGATCTTTGCTGCCGGTAGCCGCAGGGTGCTTGTGGTGGAGTCTATCTCGAATCCTAGCAATTGTACTGTTTGAGATGGTGTCATGGCCGATTTGTTGAAATTCACTACAAATCCCAGGGATGCTAGCAATTCCGTGGCATACCTCGTGTGCTGTATCAGCCTGGACCTTTCGGAGCAGAACAGCAGGAGGTCGTCCAGATAGATGATGAACCGGATGCCTTGTGCTCGACGGTGTGCGACCACGGGTTTCATTAATTTGGTGAAGCACCAGGGAGCTGAGCTGAGGCCGAAGGGGAGGCATGTGAATTGCCAGGGTTGGCCTTGCCAGTGGAAATGTAGGAACTGTCGGCAGGACTGGTGGACGGGTACTGAAAAGTATGCGTCCTTCAGGTCCAGTCTTGTGAACCAATCTTTGTCTTGCAACAGGTCTCTCAGGAGGTGTATGCCTTCCATCTTGAAATGCCTGTACGTAACGTATTTGTTGAGACTTTTTAAGTTTATGACCGGGCGGAAATCCCCTGTTTTCTTCTTCACCAGGAATATGTTGCTGAAGAAGCCTTGTGATCCGGGGGCAGGTTCGATTGCACCTTTCGCACGTAGTTCTTGCAGCTCTTTGTGAATGAGCTCGATGTCTTCTGCTGAGCATCTGGTAGGGTATGGAGCGAACGTTTGTCGCGGATAGGCTGCAAAGTCGATGATGTAGCCCTGCACTGTTTGTCGGATCCAGCTGTCTGTGGAGATGGCCTGCCATTCCTGAAAGAAAAGGGAGATGCGACCTGCAATACGAGAGGGAAGGCAATGGGTTAGCTGATTGCTTACCTGTGGAGAAGCGTGCTCTGCCTCGGGTACGTGGTCCCTGTCCTCTGTCTGCTCCTCTGGTGTAAGAGAACTGTTGCCGATATCCCACTTCGGGGTAGAAAGGTTGGGACCTCGCATTGCAGGGGCCTGAAGGCCAAAATCGGCTGGCAGCACGGTCCCTTTGGCGGCCAGCCCTTCCAAAAACACCCCTGGAGGGGTTATGTCTAAACACTCTCCTCATGGAAGATTGAGCTTTGTTAAGCGAAGTAAATATATTTTCATGTTTGTTTAAGTCTTTGAGGAAAGGGTCTCCAAAAGGTTTGCCCTGTGCCAACGGACCCAGCTCCTTGGTGCCCAATTCCACCAACTTTCCGTCAATACGGAGTAAAGCTGCTTTGCGCCGATCGGATGAGAGAGTGGCATTAGTATTACCCACAAAGCAAAAGCATCTTTGTGCCCACTCCCGTACATCGTGAGCCCATTCACGAACCATGGTCGAGTCAAATTGGTCTGCTTTTGTGAGAGCATCATCGGCCAGGTACATGATCCTGGAAAGTGGTCCCACTGAATCCAGTAGTTTGTCCTGGACTGCTCTGAATCCTTTCTCCACGCCTTTGCGTGGGTCTCGGCCCCCACGGGACATAAAGGTGGTCATCACCTGGTCGAACTCTGCGGATTATCTGCGGATTATCCGTAGCGTCCTGTGCTTGGGAGTCACCCAATAGAGTGTGAGGTAATAGCCCGGGTTGAGACTCGGAGTCGGTACCCCATGTGTCGTCTTGCTCGTCCGACTCGTCAGCCTGCCACTCGTCTAGAATGGCCAGGGACTTGGACTGCGTGTCCTCCTCTTCAGAGGAGTAGTCAGGTAGCGGAGTCGGGGCAGTGATTGAAGAGGGCTTACGTCTTTTAGCCGGGGCTTTACCCTTAGACGGGTTCTGTAGACCCTTTTCCCCTTTCCAGTGGCGTTTGCCAGTGGAGGGTTCTTGGCTCTTATGCGGCTCAGAATCGTCTGAGTCTGAATTATGTCAGGATTGGTGGGTTTTTGATGGTATCCTCTTTTCTGTATTAGAGGCCATCATTTTGGAGAGGGCTTTCTCCATTGAGGCTACTATCGCCTCGTTAATCATATTCTGGAAGTCCACCGTATTTTGAGAGGCTTCCATTTTAATATATGTGGCACAGGGCGTAAAATATAGTTATAGGAATAGAGGTCAGTGTAGCTGTACGTCTTACTGTATAAGTAACACTATGCTGACCCCAGCAGGGTACAGTGGTGTACAAGCAGATGAATTCACAATAATTCACAATATAATTGTGGTAATGTGATAATAATAACAACACCAGCAGGGTTTGTGGTGTATTGTGTATATAAAGACCCTAGCAGGATCTTAGAATGCCAGAAGTAATCCAGTTACAGAGTGGGAGGATAATAACCCCAGCAGGGTGTATATAATAGGCACTGAAAAAATTTCCTAGACAAAAAATGCTCTGACAGAGCAAACACCACAATGTTGGGATTTTTTATAGTGCTGGGCTTCACCCAGAGAGACAGAGGTAGCCACAGGGCGACCTCCAAATAAAGCAGCAAACAAAATGTGGGGCAGCACCCCAAGCAGGCACAGGAGATGCCTCAGTACAGTAATAATGAATGAATGACTGACCTCTGAATGTAATGGAGGCAAAAAACTCAGGATTCCCTAAAGGTGCTTAGCAAACTGAGCAAGCACTAACTGAAAGCGGCGTGTCCCTCGCGGCGCTGTGAAGGTAGTCAAAATGGCGTCCGCGAGATGCGAGATTGCAAATGGCCGCCGGACTTGTGAGGGGAGGTGACGGCGAGCCGCAAGGGAGGGTATCGATACCGCGGTTAGGGGCTGGGGAAGGGGAGCGTGGGGGGGGAATCGATTGATAGCAGTAGGGAGGACAGGCACGGGTCCGTCCGCGGGCGGGAGAGTAAATGAGGGCAGAAAAGGTTTGCCCAGAAGAAAAAGGGAAAGTCCAAAAGTCATAAAATGAAAAGAATAAATAAATAAATATACTATAAGTCAAATACTGACAACAAAGTTAAAAAAAGGGGGTCAATAAGAGTGCAATAAAATCATAAACAGTATAATGTATAAAGGTAAAGGAAGAGCCCAAAACTCTGACCTGTCTGCGATGGAGCAGTAAAGAAAGAGGAGGCGGAGCCTATTTGGTGGGAATACCTTACTCCCTATTGCATTTTGATTGGTTAAACGTTTACTTTCTTTACTGCTGTGGAGTTTAGTAAAGAGCGATATGCAAAATAGGAAGCCTCCTGTCATGTGATAAAATTCAAACACAGCCCTGGCCAATCTGCAACTCCTCATAGAGATGAATTGAATCAATGCATCTCTATGAGGAAAGTTCAGTGTCTGCATGCAGAGGGAGGAGATACTGAATGTTTGGATGCATTTTAGGCAGCCATGACCCAGGAAGGATCCCTAACAGCTATCTAAGGAGTGGCCAGTGAGGTTATCACTAGGCTGTAATGTAAACACTGCATTTTCTCTGAAAAGACAGTGTTTACAGCAAAAGGCCTGAAGGTAATTATTCTACTCACCAAAACAAATTCAATAAGCTGTAGTTGTTCTGGTGACTATAGTGTCCCTTTAAATCTCTTTTTGCAATTATTAAAAGTAGGGAATAGTTTAAAAAAGAAAGTTCTGAGAGGGTAGAAGGGATGTTAAATTGATACTTTAGGCACCCAGATCACTTCAGCTCATTCAAGTGGTCTGGGTGAACTGCCTTTGTAAGTTTCTCTGCAGTTGTAATTACCTTACTGGGTTAACGCAGGCTGATCGTAGCACACAGCGGCCTTCTGGGCTGGCGGCATATCGGGAAGTCTCCCGGTACCCCGGTAGGCCAGAACAGCCCTGTTTCCTATGTGAAAGCATTGTGATTGGCTTTTGTTCAGCACTTCTGATGATGTCAGCCACCAGCAGCAGACTTGAATAAAGGTATTATATTATATTTAGGGAGGCCAGGGGAGATAGATGGTGTTTTTAACATCAGGAATACATGTTTGTGTTCATGACCCTATAGTGTTGCTTTAATCATTAAGAACAATGATTTATTCATGAAATTAAGTAATCATCTGCAGATGAAAAAAAGATACCAGACAAATACAAGTTAATGAATACTGTCAATTTTCATGCTCAATTGCCACAATTCTGGTACTGTAGACCACTGTTTTAAAACAGACCAACATCTGGGGAGCTAAGTGAGGGGAAATCAGCCTTCCCCTATCCCTATGCTGTGTCTGAGCACACCTAGCAAACCACTTGCACACATCTTTGCTTTCAAATCTAGTAATAAAATGCATAGCTTTTAACAGGTCGTCAAACCCACATATAAAGTGTAAATGAAACAAAATATTCTTCACTTAATTAATCTCTCGATATGAGATATTGTGTTTGACTCCAGAGAAAACACTGTCCCTAATTGCATTCTTAAGTATTTTTAACACAAATCGAACATCTTTAATTTTATGTTTTTCTCCCCCTTAGGAATTTAAGCTGCCAGAGAATTACACTCCATAAAAATTTGTTTTTCTCCTTCGTTTGCAATTCTATTGTTACAATCATTTCACTAACTGCAGTGGCCAACAATCAACCTTTAGTGGCCACCAATCCAGTAAGTCACAGTTGAAGGGTTTCATTATCTTTGTTGAATCTTCAGAAAAAAATCATAATGTGTATTCAGCCATTTATATATGCATTATTTGAATAATTATTTGGTTTTAGTTTATGTTCATTTATTCACTTTCTTCTTAATACTGCATACTCCAAACCAGGGGATCAGGGCAGGATTGGGAACAAAAAGCTCTGGAAATAATTTTATTTCATGGCTTTATGTCAGCATATTATACTATTATATAGGTGGAAACAAAACAAAAAACAACCCATAGAGAGGAATATTTAATAGAGATTACAAAGACATTTTCCAAATACGCAGCATTCTGTGTATCGGCTGCACAGAGTGGACTGGCCTGTTAAGCTGACCTGCTCTTGTGGCCCTCACAACCCTGTCCCTAATTTATACCTCAAAATTTTGGGAGGTATACCAGATATAACAGTCCTCTCTAATACATATCTGCTACGAAATATAGCTATACCATACTACATTTATCTAATATACTTCAATTTGTCTTCCCGTTGATAACTTCCCCTATCCCTATGCATTTATCTAGTCTTGTTCAATTTACTGCCCTCTTATTCTATCTTCAAACTGGGTGCCCTCCACCATGTGCTGCGGTCGGGGCCGAACATTTAGGGGCCCATTGGATGGCCCATGCTGTTATTGCCACCCGATGCTATGTATTTCCAGGTGAGCCCGGTCAGTGCTGCTTTCGCTTTAACAGCTGAACGGGCCTTTGTGATGAGATCAGACTGAGCTGGGAGGAAGTTACTGCCTTGGTCACTTCCTCCCAGCAACCACCGGGAGCCACGCGGGAGGAGGAAAGAGAGGAGGGAATCAGAGTGGGAACTCTCACTCCCATCAGCCTGAGCCACTGGACCCAGGGAAAGTCACCCTCCTGCACCTAAAATGTAGGAAACAGGAGGGTAACTAAATCATTTTGCTTGTGTGTGTATGTGTGTGTTTGTCTCTGTATGTGTGTGTGTCTCTGTATGTGTATGTGTATGTCTCTGTATTTGTGTGTGTTTCTCTATATGTGTATGTCTCTGTATTTATGTGTGTGTCTGTATGTGTATCTGTTTGTCTGCGTATCTGTATGTCACTGCATGCCCTGTGTATCTATATGTGTGTCACTGTTTGTATCTGTATGAATGTAATTCTGTGTATTTGAATGTTTGTCCTTAAGTGTTTGTGTATCTGTCTGTATGTGTGTCTGTGCATCTGTATTTGTGTCAGTGTTTGTATCTATAGGTGTGTCATTCTGTGTTTCTAAAAGTGTGTAATTCTGTGTCTGTGTATCTGCATGTGTGTCTGTGTGTATATATGTGTCTGTGTTTCTGTGTGTTAGTTTGTGTGTCTGCATTTGCGTGTGTGTGTGTATGTGTGTCTGTGTATCAGCATGTGTGTCCGTGCGTGTATCTGCATGTATGTGAGTGTGTGTCTGTAGGAATGAAAAACATTGAGGGACGTGGGGGGGGGGGGAAAGAAACGTATGTGGGGGCACCGAGGCCCAGTGGTTTCTAGTTACGCTTCTGCTTCCAGTCTTATACTCGTTTAATTGAATTTCTTCCCTCCTCATTCCAACTGTATCCCTGTGTATCCTCTCGAAAGTCAGACATTCAGTGGATTTTCCCAGGTTTAGGCAAATTTAGGGAAAACAAACAAACATTAATTTAATTACTTTATCAAGTAAACTGCATTTTTCCAGATAAAATTAAATAGAAATCTAATATTTTCTTTCTTAACAGGTTAGCTGCAAAATATCACAGTTTATCCACTTTTACCTGATGGGATGTAATTATTTCTGGATGCTATGTGAAGGAATATACTTGCACACATTAATTGTTGTGGCTGTTTTTGCTGAAAAACAGCATCTAATGTGGTACTATCTACTAGGTTGGGGTATGTAATCAAATGTTTTACTCCTTTTTTTTGGTATTTAAGTTAATATGGTTCCATAGCAATACAGGGATATAAATTTAAAATAATTGAATATTAGAATTCAAGAAAGATCAAGCTGTAGCTATAGTCCTTGCAAGCTAGCTAAAACCCTTAAGCCTGGATTATGTTACCGTATCTATTCTTTTCAATGCAGGAGTTGGAGCTGAGAACAGTGGCATAGCTAGAGCTAGGGCTCCCTTCCTGCCGGTAACTTGGACATTGCACCCCTGTGCCGCCTTATGTTAGCGCCGTCTCTGTGTCTCACCTGAAAAGTGCCACACCCAAAAAAGTGACATCCGGGGTGGAACACCCCCCTGCCACACATAGCTAGGCCACTGGCTGAAAAAAAGCTATTTGTAGTTGAGGTGATAGCAAATGTTTAGCATGCTTAGTGGCACTTTACAGAGGTTCATTGTGAATTGTCACAATTGAAAACAATGAGGCATAGACTTTCTATGGTTGTTGTGAGCACAGTACATATACAAGCTATGCTGTCCTAAGACTAAGAAGGTAATAAAATAAAAAGAAATAAAATATTATTTACGTTCCGACATTTATGCCATGCAGGGTGGCAGATCCCAAACCATAATTGTATCCAGTCTAATATTAAAACTGATAGAATGTGCAATCAGCACATTGATATTTTTGATTGGGTAACTAAAATAATAGATCAGGGTGGTGCAGTAGACATTGCTTGCCGTATCGTATCTTCAGAAGGATATTGATACTTTGGAAAGAGTTCAGAGAAGGTCTCCTAAACTAGTTCATGGATTGCAGGATAAAACTTACCAGGAAAGGTTCAAGGATCTTAACATGTGTAGCTTGGAAGAAAGACGAGAAAGGGCGGTTATGATAGAAACATTTAAATACATAAAGGGAATTAACACAGTAAAGGAGGAGACTATATTTAAAAGAAGAAAAACTACAACAACAAGAGGACATATTACTAGTGATGCCCCGAACGGTTCGCCAAACGGTTCGCCGCGGACTCATCATTGAGTAAACTTTGACCCTGTACCTCACAGTCAGCAGACACATTCCAGCCAATCAGCAGCAGACCCTCCCTCCCAGACCCTCCCACCTCCTGGACAGCATCCATTTTGAAGCTGCATTCTTAGTGAGCTGTCCAGGAGGTGGGAAGGTCTGGGAGGGAGGGTCTGCTGCTGATTGGCTGGAATGTGTCTGCTGACTGTGAGGTACAGGGTCAAAGTTTACTCAATGATGAGTCCGCGGCGAACCGTTCGGGACATCACTACATATTACTTTACAGAGAGGGTAGTGGACGCATGGAATTGCTAAAAGGTTAACAAAGTGAGGGAGTTTAAGCATGCGTGGGATAGGCATAAGGCTATCCTAGATTTAAGATAAGGCCAGTGACTAATTAAAAGTATTTTGAAAATTGGGCATACTAGATGGGCCAAATGGTTCTGATCTGCCATCTCATTTTATGTTTCTATGTTTAAAGGAAGACTTTAGTGTTAGAAATACAAAAGTGTATTCCTAAAACTAAAGTGTTCCTCTGAATGCTCACTTTAGTGAATAACCCTGTAAGTCATATATTGACTGAGAAAATAAATTCACAATTAAAGTATTTTGTTACAGGATTTCCACTGATCCCTGCATGTATTCACGCAGTTGCTAGAAGTATATATTTCAATGACAAGTAAGTGTGCCTTATTTTACCAGATTAGCAGGTAAAACAAAGGATATAATTATGTTAATATAAGTTTATTTTTACTTGTAGTTGCTGGATTAGTTCTGACACGCATTTGCTATATATTGTCCATGGACCAATTTGTGCTGCACTGTTGGTAAGTTTTGTTAATATAATATGCTATCTATCCTTTTGTACATGTTGGATTACATATTATTATTATTTTTGCACTGAGATATGTAAGGTAATGTTATCTGTCAGCCATTTAATATAAAATTACATTCTATAAACAGTAGCCTTTAAAAAAATATTACTCAAAAGTATGAATACTAGAATTTAGGGAATTTATAATTTAATGACTGTAATTTTTTATATATATATATATATATATATATATATATATATATTCTTTATTTTTTGCGGGTCATCATTTTGACAAAATACAGCATGCGAAGACATTAAGTAAGTAGCATATCAAAATACAATATAAACCACTGTGACTGCAACACATGGGCGTATTCGACCTTATTTTAAGTTTTATTGTTATAAA